CTCTGAAAAAGAGCAGAATAATTACTGTAGTTGTAGAACAAGGAAAAGGTCAATTTAAATGATAGAAAAGTTTATCATGATCTACTTTTTCCATTCACCTTCCTCTATAATGAGGAGACACCAGTCTATATAAAGAGACACCAGTCTAACTCCCAAGCATAGGAGTGTTTCCTTCATTACACAGATAAAGCAGACCTTCCTTGCAAATTATCAGACTTGTTTTAATGTTTGTGGAAGCTATTTGAAAGAATGATATAATAAGCTCATCTGCCAAAATCTATAATAATTCACAGACAAAATAAGAGCCTTTGATCAGATAACTCATTGATGAATTCTACCAATTATTTAAAGAACAATTCTTCTCAAGCTCTTCCAAAAGAAAGAAGAGCCTAAAAGACTTCATCTCTCTGTATCAGGCAGTTTTACTCTGAGAGTCAAGCCAAAGGAAAACATCAGGAGAAGAAAAATTTTAAACACGATACCCTATAACATACATTTAAAAGCACACACAAAATTCCAGGGAATGCAATCCAGTAGGATATTAAAATATCTAAAAACCATAAGCCATATTTATCTTGGGAAAGCAAGAGTGGTTCAAAATATCAGAAAAGTAATATATCACATTAGCAAAAGGGGAGAAAAACAAAACTACCTAATTATTTCAGTTGATTAAGAGTTATTTCTTAAAATCTAAAATATTTTCACAATGAAAAGCTTAGTGAAAGGCAATAAACTAAAGATACTGAGGACTTCCATTTAGTGAATAGATCCAGATAACAGACTTTTTCACCTGGAAGACATTCTGGGCAAGAAGAGAAATGTAAGCACCTCAGGGCTCAGCAAGTGAAGGATTGGGCAACCCACAGTTCCACCTTCTCAGGCTCCTTTGCTTGAGGATCACATCAGAAAATACCATTTCATCATAGGCATACAATCAAGTTCCAACTCAGGAGAACTATCCACCGAAAATAGAATCCAGACTATGAAACATATACTTTATGTGGAATTTCAGAGTTAAAGAGGCTGCAAGTAGGAAGATCTCCTAGTCAAATGACTCTTTGATCTTCCCTGTTATTTCTCTTTCATATAAAAACTGTACATATGCCATTACTAGTCTTTCTTTATTATAATAAACACTCAGAAACCTTTTTGTTGTGGTAGTTTGTTTGACTGTGTTTTGAATTCAGAGGCTTGAGCTTGTTAAGTGCTCTACTACTTAAGCCATACATGAAACCCTTTTTTGTTGTTGTTTTACTTCAACCCATGTTCCTCCTACCTACGCCTCCTTATTCATAATTGTTTATTACAGTTGTGCACAGCTATGCTTGGCTTGTTTATTGACTGACATGAGATCTCATTAGCTATTTGTAGGAGCTGCTCATAAACCATAATCCTCTTAAGTAACTGCGATTGCAAATATGCACCACCATATTGATCCAACAGTAGGGATACTTTATCCTGTTCATTGTCTATCCCAATACATATTTTTAACTCTCAATTTTATTGTACTTAATACCATTGGCAATAACTAGGCACTTTGTTATTCTTGTGTGATACTGGACGATTAGGCACAGTAAGCCTACTTTATTTGTGGACTTATTAAATACGGTTTTGACAAACATTGATTAAAAAGATAATTAAAAAATATCTGAAGTACATAAAGAACTCCACCGATGTGAAGAAGTTCTTAGTCTCACAGTATTATCAGTGGCAATTAAATTATCATGTGACCAACTATTTCCCCATCCTTAACTCTGTAAAAACAATATGCTTCCCACCAAGCAAATGGTGCCCCAAACTATGGTTAATGCCAATCCTTACAATCTTACAAGGGACTTAGAAAGTGCTTAAGTTAACTTACAAAGTGAGAATTTAAATTTTGTTGGAAGTTGGTATGCATTTGGTGACTGTGGGTGATATTATTGGAAAAATGAACCAAGGATCCACAGTACACTACCAAATTATATGTCCTGAACAGTTAGTTTTCCCTCAATTGTTTTTCCTCCAAACCATGTATTCCAGATACCCAAAGATCTACTATAATCTATTAATTTAAGTCACTCATAACAGTCAGAATACATATTAACTTCACCAGTATATTATGATAAAAGTTACTTACATAGTTTCAAAACTATTTTCAATGACCATTTAAGTGAAAGTTAAAATCTTATGTTACTAGTTTGTAATGGTTAAAGAATCAATAGTGAACAATCAAGAAAACAAACAACAAATGCTAGTTTATATTCCCACTGTCGGTGGGAATCACTTTGGAAATCAGTGTGAAGGTTCCTCAAAAAACAAACATAGAGCTCCCCTATGACCCAAAAATTCTTCTCCTGGGCATTTATCCAACAGAACACAAACAAGGCCACAGTAAAGCCTTCAGCACAACCATGCTCTTTGCAGCACTACTCACCATAATCAAGATATGGAATTAGCCCAGATGCCTTTCAATGGGGATGATTAGATCCAGAAAAGGTGTTATATATATAAAATGAGGTTTTTATTACTCTATTAGAAAGAATGATATTGTACCATTCATAAGGAAATTGAAAGATTTAGAAAAATTATATTAAGTGAAGTAAGCCAGGTTGCAGGGTTTTCTTCACTTTTGATTGATAGGATATACTTATAAATCTATAAGTAAACATGTTGGGCAGCATGAAAGCTATTACTAATGAATTAATTGAACTATAATAGACTCTATGGGAAGATCAAATAGTATTTTCTTTCACAAAAACTAGGTCAAAGCCCGACAAAATAAGTAAGTACCAGGAAATGGAGATATATAAGAGAAGGGTTGGGACCAAGGGTGAGGGGTAGACAAATGAAGTGAGGAAAGGGGAAGAACGAAGAATTCACTACATATACCACAAAATTAAGAAAAGTAAGGGAAAAGGTGGACAGAAGAGGTGAGAATGTTGAAAGGGGTAGCATTGATCAAGATACATTGTATTCATAAACTGCTTTATTAAATGGCACCTCCTTTGTACAATTAATAAAAGATCATTTTTAAAAAATTAAAGAATTGATGGCAACAGTATAATTTCACTAAGTTCATATCACAGTACAGTGATACACAGTTCATATCGCAGACAGTATACAGTCTATGATAGTAATTTCCATTAATATGTCATTTGTCACATTCAACTGTTGATTTCTCTCCCTTTCACATGTACTTCTTAAGCTTCTCAGATATTAGCCTTTACCTTCAAACAGATACATGTCCAGAACAACTCTCAAGAGGTAGAATCAAAAAACATTTCATAACACTCTCTAGTGAGAAGAAATTATAAGTCCCTTGGGAAAAGTGAGAAGATAGGATATGGAAGACAGAAGAGAATTGCATTGTAATATATTTATATACCATTGTTTCTTAGTAAAGAGGAAAGTTCATCTGTGTTATCATATGCTCAGTGTAGCTTTGTAAGCTCTCTGTCTTTGTCTCTGTTTCTGGCTCTCTGTCTCTGTGTGTGTCTGTGTGCATGTGTGTGTGTGTTGTGTGTGTAGCTCGAAGAGCTGTGACTCTCTCTTATGAGGTACACAGCCTTCTTGAAATCACATATGAGCCCTGACTACAACAAAGACAAAGACTTCTCCTTGCTCAGTCCTAGAGACAATGAGAGAGAGCCTTGCATTTTTTAAATGTAGGATTCTATGAAGAGACGACACAGAAAATTAGGAAGAGGTTCATCCAAAGCACTAATCATCTTCTTCCCATCAAATGTTAAGATTAAGGATAAGTGTCACAGCTGATATTAATTAATGTATGAAAATGATGGCTGATGATACTCAAAGTATTTTCTAGTTTTTGTCAGTATGTAAATTACAAATTGTCTCCCTCTCCAAAGATAGCTATTTCCTCAGATCTCAGTTTCCATTTGAGGAGAAAAAAAAGCTGAAAATTGCTCTACATGAATTATTTCATAAGAAATTAATGTATAGCTTACTGTTGGGTAATATAGATGCCCACATTATCTAGTATATGGTAATCTAGCCAAATGATAAAACAAATTCTGCTGGGCTGTTTTGAAGTATATCTCAGCTAAATATTACATCCTGATGAAGTGACAATTGGGAAACTGTAGAAAGTAACAGATAATCATAGAAATTATGTCTACTATTAAAACTTTTAGAAATAATGATGACATAATAATATTTAATTTTGAGACAAACACTGCACTGAGGGTTTATTTTATATCTATGACTCATAATCATTTCTGAATCAGATCATTGCAAACTTTACCTTATTTCAAAATATTCTTCATGTTCTGGCATTTTCCCATATTTTAGGATGTTCTTTGCTTATTTATCTTATTTTATTTTTGCATGTATTCCTCCAATGGAGCTGGACATTTGCTACCACAGTTGCTTACCTACTGAGCTGTCTTTGCATGTTCAACTTACAGAGTATCTTTTCCTCCTGTCTAGAAAACATTCCTGATTCTTCTTTTTTGACCCTGACACAAGTCAAGTTATATCCTCCATTTACTACTTAGTGATCATTTAAATCATAAAATTATGTAAAATATATAATTGCTGTACTATAACTCTCATTTGAGAAGAGAAACGTTCTGTTCATTGGAGAATCCCAATACATACAATGGTAAGTGCAAATTTCTCTAGGCTCAAGGTTGTTGAAGTGCTGAGCGAAAGCAAATGAGGAGCAAAGGAAATGGAAAGACATGATCAGGTATGAGTAACTATTTCATTGGAACTATTTGATAACTAACGTCAGGAAGGCATGAAGGAAGAATGGAGGTAAAATGATTTTCCTATTTTGTGCATAGAAAAAAAGTACAATTTTGAAACATCAGTGAATATACAAAACATAGAACGTGATCTGATGTTAAAATATGAGGATAAGTAGTGATATCTGAAGTTGGTGAAGTTTGAAATTGTAAGAAATCTCCCTCTTTGATTTAACTCAGGAACTAAAAGGAGCAAATGGTCCTCATGTGAGAAAACACTTCACATGACTTTGCTCCTCTCTATTCCAGGAGATGAGCCTCAATTGCTCCCTGTGGCAGGAAAACAGCTTGTCTGTCAAACGTTTCACATTTGCCAAATTCTCCGAGGTCACAGAACAATGTTTCCTTCTCTTCACCCTCATCCTCCTCATGTTCCTAGCATCCCTGACGGGCAATGCGCTCATAGCGCTTGCCATCTGCACCAACCCAGCGCTGCACACCCCCATGTACTTCTTCCTGGCCAACCTGTCTCTCCTGGAGATCGGCTACACGTGCTCTGTCATTCCCAAGATGCTGCAGAGCCTCGTGAGTGAGGCTCGGGGAATCTCTCGGGAGGGCTGTGCCACTCAGATGTTCTTCTTTACCTTCTTCGGTATCACTGAGTGCTGCCTTTTGGCGGCCATGGCTTTCGACCGCTACATGGCCATCTGCTCCCCACTCCACTATGCCACACGGATGAGTCGTGGGGTGTGTGCCCACTTGGCGATGGTTTCTTGGGGGATGGGATGCATAGTGGGCTTGGGCCAGACCAATTATATTTTCTCCTTGGACTTCTGTGGCCCCTGTGAGATTGACCATTTCTTCTGTGACCTCCCCCCTATCCTGGCGCTGGCCTGTGGAGACACATCCCACAACGAGGTGGCCATGTTTGTGGCGGCAGTCCTTTGCATTTCCAGCCCATTTGTGTTGATCCTTGCTTCCTATGCGAGGATTCTGGCTGCAGTGCTGGTCATGCCCTCACCTGAGGGCCGCCACAAAGCTCTCTCCACCTGTTCCTCCCACCTACTGGTGGTAACACTTTTGTTTGGCTCAGCATCAGTCACCTACTTGAGGCCCAAGGCTAGTCACTCACCAGGAATTGATAAACTCCTCGCCCTCTTCTACACAGCGGTGACGTCCATGCTAAATCCCATCATCTATAGTTTGCGGAATAAGGAAGTGAAGGCAGCCCTGCGGAGAACTCTGGGCAAGAAACTGGTTTTAAAGACCCAAATCCTTTCATTTCAGAACTGCAAACTATTAAAATGAAAGTAGCAGCAATTTTTCTCAAGCCCTCATGAAATGTTTTTAAAGAAAGAAATAACATCGGAATGTAAAGGTGGAAGAAGAAAACTTAGGTATCATTCTACATATAGAAATCATTTTTAAGATTTTCTGGAACGTGAAGAATTTACCCAACTATATATTTATCAGCAAATATGGAGACTATCCAACAACTTACTATTAAAGGAAATGGGAATCTTTACAACCTAAACCTCAAGACCTAGATTGCTTTTAGATTCAATCTAGTTTTCAGGGAGTAATATGTTAACATTCGATTTACGCGGCATTAATAATTACTTGTATAAGAGTACCATTATAACAAACACTGGAACGTGCCGGTTCTACCATTACTCAAGTCTATCTGTCATTGTTAGGATCACTGAGAGTTCTGCTATCACGTCATGGTACCGATGATCACTAATAGATCAGGATGTCCCCACAAGTGAATGATGTATCAGTATTCAGTCCATGCTACCTGTTTCTAGAACCCAGAATGGCAGGATTCTTTTTAGTTCAATAGTAATGAATTATCAGACTATGAGACTCAGGTAGTCCTGGACTTAAAAGTTAGCAATGTATATCAATTGAGAAAGTTGAAAAAGGGGAATTTACCAATGTTACGATTCTGAGGGCTAATTTTTATATCAAATCATAAAATCACATATCTGATTAATTTCCTCAAGTTATCTTTCAACAAGTGGTACTATAAAATAAGAGTTCATTTGTAAATCACATAATGGACCTATTCTGCCATGTTGCTTGCATAAATAAAATTTCAATGGGAAACACCAAAAACTCAACTATATATTCTATATGGTTATTTTCATACTTTGAATAAAGCAGAATTTACCCATTTCAGAAAAATTACAAAGATTGTTCGGACCACCATGCAAAAAGTGTCAAATACTTACTCTTTGTTATAGAAAATACATGCTGACCCATTACATGTTAAGAGTAGCATGAAACACGTTGGTCATATTTCAGTATCTAAAGGTTTAAAGAAAGAAGACCTGACAAAATGTGATCATGAAGTTTGTATTCTGTTTTGAGTGAAACAAAAGTATAAAGCAATATTAAGTCAGAAAAACCTAATGTTGTTAGATTATATGGAGAATATTGTTAATTTGTCTTTAAATTGAGTATGACTTCATTGATAATATTCTAAGAGTTCTTTGTTTTTAATTTTAACAAAATTTGATGGCAGGAAATAGATGAAACATTTGGCAAGATGTGGATAATAATTCATATTGACCTCCATTCTTCTGTTACTACTTCTCTCTGATTATATGACATTACAAATGTATTAAAAAAGCCTTATCCATTTATATATATATATATATATATATATATATTGATTTCTAGCTTGATTTCATTTTGATATATCAAACTATAGTTTTGATCTTGTATATAATTATTATCTTTAAGTAGTTTTATAAAGAAGTTGCCATTCAACAAAGCAGTTTATGAATAAAATGCAACTTGATCTTAAATGCACCCTCAAAGTGCATTCATATTGGCTTTATTATTCAGTTCATGAACAAATTTTTTAAGTGTTCTGTGTGCTTGAAAAAATTTTGTATATCTTTGGTGGTGTCCATGTTGCCCTTAGGTTAGGTAATTTTTGTTAATTATGCTATTTCTTTTGGCATTTGTTTATTCATTGTGTTTACAGGAATTTTCCAGTAATTACTCACTTAATTATGACTATGGGTTTATCAATCCCCTTTTAGTATTTGTCATATTTTGATTCACCTTTTAAAGTTAAGTTTTATGAAACTCTAATTCAGTATTATTGTGAATTCCTAGTTGACTAAAATTTTTACCATAATGAAGTGGTTCTCCCTGCTCCTAATAACAGTTTTCATATAATACCTGATTGGTATGATTTTTTAAAAAATTTATTGTCAAGATAATATGCAGAGGGGTTTCAGTTACATAAGTAAGGTAATGAGTACATTTCTTAAATTAATTGTACGATTTTAAGATGACTGTGTCAGTTATGTTTTATATACTAATCATGTGCAGTCTTTTTTAATCCTTTAGATATAGACAGCATTTGTCTTGTTAGGTTTTAATCTATCCTGAAAATGCTTGTTTCTTTTTTTTTTTTTTTTTTTTTTGGGTCCGGTCGTGGGGCCTGAACTCTGGGCCTGGGCGCTGTCCCTCAGCTCTTCAGCTCAAGGCTAGCGCTCTACCACTTAAGCCACAACGCCACTTCCGGCTTTTTTCTTTTTGCTTATGTGGTGCTGAGGAATCAAACCCAGGGCCTCAGGCATGCAAGGCAAGCGCTCTACCACTGAGCTATCTTCCCAGCCCTACTTGTTTCTTTTCAAACAGTAGACCACTTAAGTTTGCGTTATTATTACTATATTGGGGCTTACAATCTAGAACAATCGTTGTTCTTCCATTTATGAATTCATATTTGATAAAAATGTTTTATTATTACATTTTGTTCATCTATTTACTCATTTGTTGCACTTTTTACTTTGTGGCTATTAAAAATTACAAGTTGAGTATTTCATGTCTTTTAAGCTAATTTAAGTCACTGTTTTGCCATTTTCTTATAGGAACTTTTGATTTTAGAGAAACTAATTTCTTTCTAGTCTACCTCAAATGAAAAGAGAAAAGTATAAAAATATCTACATTAGGTTTCTCTCTCTCTCTCTGTTTCTTTCTTTTGTCAGTCATAGGCTTGAATTGAGGGCCTAGGTATTGTCCCTGTGCTCTTTGCTCAAGGCTAAAGCTCCTACTACTCTGAGCCACTTCTGGTTTTCTAATGGTTCATTGGAGATAAAGGTCTCACAGACTTTTCTGTCCAGGCTGGCTTTGAACTGCGATCCTTTGACCTTAGCCTCCTGAGTAGCTAAGTTTATAGGTGTGAGCCATCAGTGCCCAGCTTTACAATAGGTTTCTTTTTGTAATAAAAATTATAATGCAATATGCATTTGGGTAAAGTAACCAAGAGAAAGAAAAAAAGAGAAGCTAATGGTTTCATACAGGGTAGGAAAGAGATGAAACAAAGAGCAAATAAGAAAATTTAAAGAGCTATGCTTCAATCACCTTGCTACTCAGGAGGCTGAGAGACCTGAAAGTTAAAATGAAGGTTAAAAGTCAGCCTTCCAGAGAAGTACATGAGACTCCATCCAACTGGAGACATGGCTTAAGTGGTAAGTACCTGCTGGGAGCAAGAGAGGAAGAGCCCCATCTTTGAACTCTGCTATTGGAATTTAAAACACACACACACACACACACACACACACACATACACACACATACACACGCACACACGCACACACACACAGACCTTGTAAGGAAAGAATTTGAGTTCCATAACTAACACATAATAATACAAAATACCTAATTTTCACCCCTGAAAAAAATACAAGCTTTATAAAAATAAGGAAATTACATGGTTCATTTAAGTATAAACTGTCTTAGAAGAAACCCAAATGTAGAGTCCTAGAAAATTTCTTCCAATGTTATCCATATGCTCCAAAAGCTAAACAGAACATGGAGAAAGAACTAAAGGAAATACAAAAACAATATATGAATACAATAAAAATATTAACCAAGAGAAAAACAAAAGTCAAACCGTGGTTGTGTGGCCTACCATACCTGGAATGTTTGTTAAGTCATTAGCTTTCGACCAGGTTAATCTTTTTTTTATTTTTATTTATTTTTTTTTTATTGTGAACATACTATACAGAGGGGTTACAATTACATGGGCAAGATAATGAGTACATTTCTTATCAAGCATTGCAGTCGTCTCCTTTGTTTACCCTTCACATCCCTTCCCAACCTCCCCCCACACCCCCAACAAATCCTCCCCCCACCCACCAAAGTTGTAAAGTTCGTTTTTGACATGACAACTTGTACTTCTCATTGTTGCAATGGGTCCGCCTGTATCCTTAAACGACTTGTTTTTCCCCTTCTCCTCCACAAATTATACCAACATCAAATACAGTGAAAGCAGGGGTTATACTGTGGGGGAGGGACATACAAAGCAACAAAGAAATAATCTTATAAATGCGTTAAAAACAAATGCATGAAAAAAAACCATTTAAATACATATCTAAGGGTTTATTTTCCTAACATTACATTATCTGACCTTTTCTGCTTGACTCATACACATAGTAGAATCCCAATCTATGCCTCGTAGGTAGCTAAGATGACAGACAGGCACCACCATATTTAGCCAGCAATCAGTATCTTATCCTGCTCTGTGGCTATCCTAATATTATTAATTCCCAATTATATTATAGTTATTATTGATAGCAAAAAAACAGAAACTTTGTCAAAGTTATGTGGGTTTAGGGGATTATAGTATATGACTGCTTTATTTGTGGATTTAATACATATGGTTTTGACCAAGCTTGGTTTAAAAAATGCATTAAAAATCCAAATGAATTCAAAAGAAGCTTAAATTCTCACATGTGCATTGCACAGCCTCATGCTTTCATCAGTTGTATCTAAATCATTGGTCATCTATTGGGTATTTCCCTAACCAGAAGAGAGAAAATGTTTCTTCCAAAAAGCAAATGGTACCCCCAAACAAGGCAAATGCCAATCTTTCCAATCCTAACAGAGGGCTCATTTTGTGCTATGTTCAGTTGACAAAATGAACATCTTAGATATGTTGGAAGGTGGCACAGCTTTACCGGTTGTAGAGGGTGTTGATGGAAAAATGAATCAAACATCGACAATACAGTACTGAATACTATGTGTCCTGTACATTCCCAGTTTTCCCCAAGAAATCTACTATAATTTATTCATGTAAATCTTGTATAATAATCAGAATGTTAATTTTATAAATACCATATAAAGTAAAAATTGCTTATGTAGTTTTCAAAACTATTTTTGATAATTACCTAAAAGGGACACATTCATTAAAATTAATAGTTGACATAGGTTAAAGAATTTACTGGAAGAGAGTGAGGGAAGAGGGAGACATGGTTCAAAAAGAAGTACTCATTGCCTGACTCATG